CTGCTCCAGAAGGCTTTGTCTCCTGTCTCTTTAGCAGAGGCATATGTCAGACAAGAAAAGGAGAAAAGCTGTCCTGGCCACAGTGACATCAGCCCAGCTCAGAGGGAGGAGAAGAAAGGTTGCAGACCGGAGGGAGCCGGTCTCGGGCACGCACCCCTCTTCCTTGCTCTGGATACTCCGATACTCACTCTTTCGTCCCAGGGCAGCTTTCCCCACAGGCTGCCTCTGAGACCAGTGGCCTTTCTCTACCACTCAGGCGACCCTTCTCTGCCCTCTTGTTAGAACAGTCCCGGGGAAGGGTTCCACGGTCTCATTCTGGGATCTGTGTCCACTGTTGAGGGTGAGGAAGAGAGGGTGGAGGGCTCTGTTGCCAGCAGCTGTAAGTGGAACACAAAAGCAGTCCTCACTGATGCAAAAAGAATGGAAAGTCTGTTGAAAAGGCAGGTGACTTTCCAAGAGTGGTGCTGGGGACCCGGGAGGGAAGAGCTGCTATGAGGCCTGGGGTCTGGGTGCAGGTCAGTCGGTCAGGTTTGTGATGCCTTACCCCTTCAGTTACGGAACCTTCGAGGCATACCCGCCTGCCCATGTGGATGGGAGGCAACTTGCTTATCTGCATAAAAACACGGTCACATTCACAGTGGGCTGTTGCACAGCAGGAGTGACAGTGACAGTTCCCGGGAAAGGAGGGGTGGCCCTTCTGCTCCACTCTGCCTTCACTTCATATACGGGGTGCTTCTTAGAGGAAGGTACCAGACTGTGGCTCCTTGGGGTTATGATGACTCTCTTCAGATAGCTGCAGTCCCTCATGTGGAGCACACTTGTTCTCTGCCCAAAGGGAGTCCCCACTTGCCGAGGCCCGCCCCTCACTTGTCTATAAGTCGAATTTGTAGCTCAGTCAGAACAGGTGTGCATGGTTCATATTTAGCTTTTATTGATGGAAGAAAAGAGCCAAACCCTTTTCAGTGATTTAAAAGCTGCACATGCAGCAGGTGACAGGGATTGGGATGGTGACTTTGTTGTGAGTAGGGGTTGGCTCAGTTGTTCTAAAGTGAGGACAAGTGATGTGAGTTGTCGGTAACCCAGAGACTGCTGCCACTAGGTTTGGTGGGTGGAGGCCCAGAGTCAGCTTTCCTCTGCTGGGAAGCAGCTTGCTCCTGGAGAAGCCAGTGGCCTGCCATGGTGACGCTGCCCCATTAGATCAGGCATTCCATGTGGTTCATGACTCTGCAGAGGACTGATCCTGGGGCGTGAGCACTTACAGCCACTGTGAGGTTGTGAGGTAAAACCTGGGGTTCTCTCCCACTGAGGTGCACAGTCAGAGCATCAGCTGCCTGCCCTGACAGAGTTCCTGGAGGAGACTGGCACATCTCGAGGGAAACTTGTCCATTGCTGGTTCCCCATCACCATGTGCACGTGAAGCATGTCAGGCGCCTGCATTTGCAATGCCTCCCAGACAAGGCGGCCAGTGTCTGCCCACTGACCACACCACATGACTCATGGAAAGTACCTGTGAAATGGATTGTCAACTCACCGAAACAGGGCTTGTGAGGTTCCAGAGCCACCGGACATTGTTTGTTTCAAGTCCTCTTCCTTCTGGATGAACTACCAATGGTTTTGTTGGGAATAAAATATAACTGAACTCCAGAGTGATTTCCTTGAAAGTTTGTTTCAGTGGAACATATCTGGGAAGGAGCTAGTGACATTCTTTTAATTTGTGAGTCTAGGAGCTCTGGTAGCGTAGTGGTTATGAATTGGGCTGCGAACC